ATATATATATATATAAAGAGAGTTTAAAATCAACTTACATAAAATCATATGTTCTAATTTCAATGTGATCATTATAAACATACACACAGATTAATGTTACTTTCTAACTCAATTATCATATCTTATTAGTGGAATAAATAAACAGATATAAAAATTATCTTATCACATCCTTAACACCAAAACATGCTTCAGGGAGGATTTTGTTTTGTTGTATAGGAAGGGGGAATAGATTGGGGATTACTTGCAAGCACTAAAACATCTGGTTGGTTCAGAAGGTGAGGATGAGATAGTAGTCTGTTGTTGAAATGTTGTTAGGATGTGACTTTGTTAATAAGTTTCAATAGGACTCTTTGATGTTTAACTCATGATCTATGGAAGGGTCGAGTTTTAGTTGAAGGGAAGAAGTAGTGCGGAGATTATGTTTTGTGTGTGTTTCGGTGAAGTCTTTTTACAAACATCTGGTGGGCATGGGTTTCTGGGAGATAGAACTGTTGAAATAGATTGCAATGAAAGTCATCTTTTTTTTTGTTTTTTTTATCAGACAACAGGTTACAAGCAGTGACAATATATGGCTATTTTCTAGGTTCGTTGGTTAATTGATCTCAGTGTGTGTTCATCATTTGGTATTGGGTGTTTGGAATTTTCTTTCTCCACATCACAAATAGTGTGATTGCTGCCAATTGTTGGACAAATTAAAGAGTTCACACGTTTTGCTCTATGAACTAATTAGGAACATGATATACAATATTGTAGATTCTTTGTTCATTTTGTTGGGGAATGGTCTTAATTGTAACTTCTACCTTTGTGAGCATTTCTCAATCCTATTACATCATATATTTGGATGATTTATAGTATATAATAATAATAATATTTGGCTTATAAAAAATAAATTAAATAAATAAATAAAAAACAACAACAACAACCAAAACACGTTTTCTTTCTACACATTGATTCTCTTATCTTATCATATTTTTGCCTATTTTTCTTCTTTCCACTTTTTTCCACACACTTCCTCTCTATATTTTCACACTATTCACTTTTTTCTATGCATTTTCTTTTCCTCTAATTCCTTCTTTTCTACGGAATACATCCTTAGTCTATTTTCACATTAAAACGTGCAACCTTTTACTTATGTTACATAATTGAAGGTGGTGAAGCACATCATAACTAATATCAACCTTACAGTATAATTTGGTTAAATTTAAAATTTAAATTGATTTAATTGGAGTTGGGCCAAGTTACTTCCCTGATCAGTTGATCCAATATCGTGGGCCAGGCTACTATTAGGGATGTTTGGCAGCCCAATAGCACTTGACAATGGGCACTTGCTACTTAAACAAAATATTAGGGGTTAGCATGTGAAATGTTGTGGCTTGTGGGCCTATGCTGGGCTTTTTAGTCTCAGGATCGACCTGGCTTTTTGTTTCCCGTTCTATGAAAAAAAAAATAGATATCAAAGTTACTCTATTTTTTTTAAGTATTAATTATTTTATATTTTTATTTGATTCTTAATTTAT